TGAGATAGAGTGATTTCCCCGTTTTACGTTTGTTGTGGAATAATTATACTTTTTTGTGTAATAAACCTATCACTATTTTTTAAAAATTAACGGCACATCTCATCAAGCTGAAATTTCCACAGAAGGCAGATGGTAATGACTTCTACTTGTAGAAAAAATTTCAGGCCAATCTGATGTTTGTTGTTTGAGATAGAGTGATTTCCCCGTTTAACGTTTGTTGTGGAATAATTATACTTTTTTCTGTAATAAACTTATCACTATTTTTTTAAATTAACGGCACAACTCATCAAGCTGAAATTTGTACAGCAGGCAGTTGGTCATGACTTCTACTTGTAGAAAAAATTTCAGGCCAATCTGATGTTTGTTGTTTGAGATAGAGTGATTTCCCCGTTTTACGTTTGTTGTGGAATAATTATACTTTTTTGGTGTAATAAACTTATCACTATTTTTTAAAAATTAATGGCACAACTTATCAAGCTGAAATTTTTATAGAAGGCAGTTGGTAATGACATCTACTTGTAGAAAAAATTTCAGGCCAATCTGACGGTTGGGGTTAGAGATAGAGTGATTTCCCCGGTTTACTTTTGTTGTGGAAAAAAATAATTGAAGATTTTTAACAAAAGAAAAGCAGTCTTCATATAGGACATTAAAAACCATCTCGGATTGTTGGTTGTTCTTAGTAACGTTCAACCTGCTTGCAAACGGGGTGATTGGGTTTAGAATCGAAAAAAAAAATCGGCGTAGAAACTACCTTATTAAAAAGGGGAAGCCTGGCTCAAAGTTTCCCCATGAGACACGGCAATGAGTCTTAACACCTGAAATCTGATGTCTGTGTTAGGGAATCCAAACTTTTTTTTTTTTTTTTTTTTTTGCGCTTTGTAGTGACTACTCCATAATGGTTGAGTTTGCAATAATTTCTACTTGTAGAAACAATTTCAGGCCAATCTGAAGGTTGGGGTTAGAGATAGAGCGATTTGCCTGTTTTAATGTTGTGTAATAAATCTATTACGATTTTTTTTAATTAACGGCACAACAAATCAAGCTGAAATTTTCACAGAAGGCAGTTGGTAGTGACCTCTACTTGTAGAAAAAATTTCAGGACAATCTAATCCTTGTTGTTTGAGATAGAGTGATTTCCCCGTTTTACGTTTTTTGTGGAATAATTATACTTTTTTGTGTAATAAACCTATCACTATTTTTTAAAAATTAACGGCACAACTCATCAAGCTGAAATTTTCACAGAAGACAGTTGGTAATGACTTCTACTTGTAGAAAAAATTTCAGGCCAATCTGATGTTTGTTGTTTGAGATAGAGTGATTTCCCCGTTTTACGTTTGTTGTGGAATAATTATACTTTTTTGTGTAATAAACCTATCACTATTTTTTAAAAATTAACGGCACATCTCATCAAGCTGAAATTTCCACAGAAGGCAGATGGTAATTACTTCTACTTGTAGAAAAAATTTCAGGCCAATCTGATGTTTGTTGTTTGAGATAGAGTGATTTCCCCGTTTAACGTTTGTTGTGGAATAATTATACTTTTTTGTGTAATAAACCTATCACTATTTTTTAAAAATTAACGGCACAACTCATCAAGCTGAAATTTTCTCTGAAGGCAGATGGTAATGACATCTACTTGTAGAAAAAATTTCAGGCCAATCTGATGTTTGTTGTTTGAGATAGAGTGATTTCCCCGTTTTACGTTTGTTGTGGAATAATTATACTTTTTTCTGTAATAAACTTATCACTATTTTTTTAAAATTAACGGCACAACTCATCAAGCTGAAATTTTTACAGCAGGCAGTTGGTAATGACTTCTCTTTGTAGAAAATTTTTCAGGCCAATCTGATGTTTGTTGTTTGAGATAGAGTGATTTCCCCGTTTTACGTTTGTTGTGGAATAATTATACTTTTTTGTGTAATAAACTTATCACTATTTTTTAAAAATTAATGGCACAACTTATCAAGCTGAAATTTTTATAGAAGGCAGATGGTAATGACATCTACTTGTAGAAAAAATTTCAGGCCAATCTGACGGTTGGGGTTAGAGATAGAGTGATTTCCCCGGTTTACTTTTGTTGTGGAAAAAATTAATTGAAGATTTTTAACAAAAGAAAAGCAGTCTTCATATAGGACATTAAAAACCATCTCGGATTGTTGGTTGTTCTTAGTAACGTTCAACCTGCTTGCAAACGGGGTGATTGGGTTTAGAATCGAAAAAAAAATCGGCGTAGAAACTACCTTATTAAAAAGGGGAAGCCTGGCTCAAAGTTTCCCCATGAGACACGGCAATGAGTCTTAACACCTGAAATCTGATGTCTGTGTTAGGGAATCCAAACTTTTTTTTTTTTTTTTTTTTTGCGCTTTGTAGTGACTACTCCATAATGGTTGAGTTTGCAATAATTTCTACTTGTAGAAACAATTTCAGGCCAATCTGAAGGTTGGGGTTAGAGATAGAGCGATTTGCCTGTTTTACTGTTGTGTTATAAATCTATTACGATTTTTTTTTAATTAACGGCACAACAAATCAAGCTGAAATTTTCACAGAAGGCAGTTGGTAGTGACCTCTACTTGTAGAAAAAATTTCAGGACAATCTAATGCTTGTTGTTTGAGATAGAGTGATTTCCCCGTTTAACGTTTATTGTGGAATAATTATACTTTTTTGTGTAATAAACCTATCACTATTTTTTAAAAATTAACGGCACAACTCATCAAGCTGAAATTTTCACAGAAGACAGTTGGTAATGACTTCTCTTTGTAGAAAAAATTTCAGGCCAATCTGATGTTTGTTGTTTGAGATAGAGTGATTTCCCCGTTTTACGTTTGTTGTGGAATAATTATACTTTTTTGTGTAATAAACCTATCACTATTTTTTAAAAATTAACGGCACATCTCATCAAGCTGAAATTTCCACAGAAGGCAGATGGTAATTACTTCTACTTGTAGAAAAAAATTTCAGGCCAATCTGATGTTTGTTGTTTGAGATAGAGTGATTTCCCCGTTTTACGTTTGTTGTGGAATAATTATACTTTTTTGTGTAATAAACTTATCACTATTTTTTTAAAATTAATGGCACAACTCATCAAGCTGAAATTTTCACAGAAGGCAGTTGGTAGTGACCTCTACTTGTAGAAAAAATTTCAGGACAATCTAATGCTTGTTGTTTGAGATAGAGTGATTTCCCCGTTTTACGTTTGTTGTGGAATAATTATACTTTTTTGTGTAATAAACCTATCACTATTTTTTAAAAATTAACGGCACAACAAATCAAGCTGAAATTTTCACAGAAGGCAGTTGGTAGTGACCTCTACTTGTAGAAAAAATTTCAGGACAATCTAATGCTTGTTGTTTGAGATAGAGTGATTTCCCCGTTTTACGTTTTTTGTGGAATAATTATACTTTTTTGTGTAATAAACCTATCACTATTTTTTAAAAATTAACGGCACAACTCATCAAGCTGAAATTTTCACAGAAGACAGTTGGTAATGACTTCTACTTGTAGAAAAAATTTCAGGCCAATCTGATGTTTGTTGTTTGAGATAGAGTGATTTCCCCGTTTTACGTTTGTTGTGGAATAATTATACTTTTTTGTGTAATAAACCTATCACTATTTTTTAAAAATTAACGGCACATCTCATCAAGCTGAAATTTCCACAGAAGGCAGATGGTAATTACTTCTACTTGTAGAAAAAATTTCAGGCCAATCTGATGTTTGTTGTTTGAGATAGAGTGATTTCCCCGTTTAACGTTTGTGTTGGAATAATTATACTTTTTTGTGTAATAAACCTATCACTATTTTGTTTAAATTAACGGCACAACTCATCAAGCTGAAATTTTCTCTGAAGGCAGATGGTAATGACATCTACTTGTAGAAAAAATTTCAGGCCAATCTGATGTTTGTTGTTTGAGATAGAGTGATTTCCCCGTTTTACGTTTGTTGTGGAATAATTATACTTTTTTCTGTAATAAACTTATCACTATTTTTTTAAATTAACGGCACAACTCATCAAGCTGAAATTTGTACAGCAGGCAGTTGGTCATGACTTCTACTTGTAGAAAAAATTTCAGGCCAATCTGATGTTTGTTGTTTGAGATAGAGTGATTTCCCCGTTTTACGTTTGTTGTGGAATAATTATACTTTTTTGGTGTAATAAACTTATCACTATTTTTTAAAAATTAATGGCACAACTTATCAAGCTGAAATTTTTATAGAAGGCAGTTGGTAATGACATCTACTTGTAGAAAAAATTTCAGGCCAATCTGACGGTTGGGGTTAGAGATAGAGTGATTTCCCCGGTTTACTTTTGTTGTGGAAAAAAATAATTGAAGATTTTTAACAAAAGAAAAGCAGTCTTCATATAGGACATTAAAAACCATCTCGGATTGTTGGTTGTTCTTAGTAACGTTCAACCTGCTTGCAAACGGGGTGATTGGGTTTAGAATCGAAAAAAAAATCGGCGTAGAAACTACCTTATTAAAAAGGGGAAGCCTGGCTCAAAGTTTCCCCATGAGACACGGCAATGAGTCTTAACACCTGAAATCTGATGTCTGTGTTAGGGAATCCAAACTTTTTTTTTTTTTTTTTTTTGCGCTTTGTAGTGACTACTCCATAATGGTTGAGTTTGCAATAATTTCTACTTGTAGAAACAATTTCAGGCCAATCTGAAGGTTGGGGTTAGAGATAGAGCGATTTGCCTGTTTTACTGTTGTGTAATAAATCTATTACGATTTTTTTTAATTAACGGCACAACAAATCAAGCTGAAATTTTCACAGAAGGCAGTTGGTAGTGACCTCTACTTGTAGAAAATCACCAATGAGCTGGCTCTCATACAGACAAGCTAAGTTTATTTTCACTCCGTTTTAATCGTCCAATTTTACTGTTGTTTTGATTTTAACCAGTGAACCGTAGTGTTTTATTTAACTTGTAGTTATTAATCGCTGTAATTAGCGTTGATCCAAAAGGTGTTTTTTACGCGATAAACGGCGTGAGTGCTTTTTACGAAAAAAAATTTCGCGAAATTCCCCCCTTTTGTCCGCTTAGGGGCGAGGGGGAAGAGTGATTTTTCGCTATCGAAGAAGCGATTAGTAAGTGTTTTACAGTGTCCAACTCCGTCTAGTGCGTCTACTAGGCGTTGAGTATTAGTATTTTTGCATGTGCCTAACGTGAATCCGGAAAAGCTGCAGAGGAAAAACCGGAAGAAAAGGCCGAAAAACAAACCCCTTTCGACCTGCTGGAACGGGCGAGGGGGTTTATCATTTGTGAAGTGAACTCTAATTGCGTTGTTTCGAAGCCCACATACCCCTACGGAGGTTTGGGGCAAATATTGGGCTCATCCCATACAAAGTGATAGTGGTGGTTGGTGAATAGGGCCCGTTCGTCCGTCTCGGCCCGGCTTCACATCCACCAAAGAAATCCCGTTCGTGTGTGTACAGTGCTGTGGTATTTTAAGAGTTGAGCCTCTCTCCTCTCACCACACGGGCTATTAGTATCGGTGCTTTGATTGCGGTGGCCCTAGTGGGCGATTTAATTCGAAAAACTTTCCTCTGGGACCAGTGAAGTGATTTTTGTCGTCTGACCGCGATATATATCGCTGTCAATTCATCGCTGCAGCGCTTTTCACCGAAACGTCATCAGAAGCCAGGTGAGCTGCTAGAGATTTTTATTTGGGAGGCTGGGTTGGGGTCGCCCTAATGGCGACTTCTATGGGGGGCCCTCCATCATGGGGGGACCAACCGGATCCGGGTGGCGGCTATCGACACGGCGTAGGAGGACGTAATGGAGCAAGGTTACCACCCTTTATGGACCCGCAGGGGAATTACGGTACGGTGCAAATCCTACGTCTGCAAGGGCTAGGAGATCCACGTCAAAAATTGCCGAATCGACCTTTTGATATTCGCAGGGATGTACAGCGTATTGCAGGAGGACAAATAGAAGGTGCTTTCAAAGAGGCGCAAGGAGCCACCTACGCACTGAAGGTTAGGAGTGCTCACCAATACGAAAGGCTGCTGCAGATGAAGCAACTTAAATGCGGTATGAAAGTTGAGGTGATACCCCATCCCTCGCTCAACTCTACGAGATGCGTAGTAAGCTGCCGTGATGTGGTCGATGATACCGAAAATTTTCTGCTCCAGGACCTAAGCGAACAAGGTGTCAAAGACGTCCGACGAATCACGCGCAGGGCTAACGGCGGTAGGGTGAACACACCAACCCTCATACTCACATGTGAGGGCACGTGCTTCCCCGAATACATCGATTTTGGTTTCCTCCGTTGTCGTACCCGGCCATATTATCCGTCGCCCATGCAATGTTTCAACTGCTGGGCCTTCGGACATACACGAATGCGCTGTAGGTCAGCCAAGCCGATCTGTGGGAAGTGTTCCGGCGATCATCCGATCGCTGAGGACAGATCGTGCAACAACCCAAAGTTCTGTCCCCGTTGCAAAACTGATGAGCACTCAATATCCGACCGAGCATGCCCGAGTTATTGCAGGGAAAACGATATACAGAAGCTCAAGGTGGACAGAGATCTGTCATATCCTGAGGCGAGAAGGTTATATGACCAAAGCCATGGGGCTACCTCCTTTTCGGGTGTCGCCTCGGCCAGCCTGGAGGGAACTCTAGCAGAAATGAGCAGAAAAATCGAAGACCTTGCCAATGCGGTTCGTGACAGGGACACGGAGATCGCCCAGCTCAAGGCTGCGCTTGCTATAAGGAATTCTGACAACTCCAATAACACGATTGACACCCCACCTGCTAACCCGCCACTAGAGAATTTTTTCGCAATGATGCAGCAACAGATGCTGCAGATGAACGATAACTTTCAGCAGTCCATCAAGGCCCTCGTGGCCACCCAGATTACCACTCAAACAAAACTACAACAGATTGAGGCAGCCATGAAAACGTCCGGTCGGTCCCCTCCGGTACCGGCTCCCCAGAGACCGCTATCGCAAAGGCCGAAGGCCACATCCGCTCCGTTGCAAGTAGCAACGGGCAGTAAAAAGATTATAAATACGTTTACCGAAAAACCCAGCACCAAATCAAGCGTAGGAAAGAAAATTGTAACCACCGCATATGTGCCCACCTCGGAAACCAAAACCGCCGAACCGGGCACACCTACGGCTAAGACTCCTGTTACAGTCTCCTCGCCAGTCACACCCAGAAATTCACTGGATTTCAACCTGGTTGAAGTGATTGACGTCACCAGCGATAGATCCACATCACCGGGGAACGCCAGTGACAGGACGATCACCCCTGACTTCAGTCCGAACCCAAATGCCAGAGTCGATACGCCGCTACCAATTACCAACACGCCAAAATCCTCCAAACGACCGAGTAACGTTCTCAGCCCTCCGATACGGCCACTCCACATAACCCAGCCTCCCATGATACCGAAGTCTCTTCGGTTATCTCCGGAACCACCTGATACCGTTTGAACGGAAGTTGCTGCTTCCGTTCAACGGCCACCGACCACCGCCTGACACTGGATATCTCTAATGGCCATTCGAACACCTAAATCACCGCAAGCTACGAACCACCACGAAACTAGTTCGACTTCTGTCCCGGGCAACCGAGGCACCGTTGAACTGGAAGCCAAAACTCCACCGGAATCTTCGGACAATCCTCCGCACCCGAACAGATCGAATGAAAACCATAGTGCCTCAAGTACACGGGGCACCTGCAGTGCGGACGTCATTCCCACACCGGTACTGCTGGACCACCCCTGTGGCTCGTGGACGAAGAACCCAAAGAAGAACCCAGTGATAGCCCCCGGCAGTCGGGGCCCCGTTGGTGCGGAAGCCTTTCCCACACCGGAACTAACGGTAACCCCCCGGTACCGGATGGAAACTGGAAGAGGGACGGACAAGGGTGGAAACACCTATTCCCCTAAGGATCAAGAAGAAACGAAGCATCATCAAGATATCGGGACGGACAAGGGATGCTACGCCCATTCCCCGAAGGACTCCGAGGGACGCAAGCCACTGAACACGTCGTTTGACATCTCTTCTTCCGTTGCTGGGACATCCCTGCCTTGGTTGGGTGGAATACCTCCATCTGTTCCTGGTGGGGCTCTGTCTCATGCAACATTGAAAATGACCGTATCGGAGCTCATCAGCATCAACACCACCTGTACGCCAAATGCAATCATCGATCCCAACACCGTTGGGACATCCCTGCCCTGGGTTGGCGGAATGCCTCCGCCTGCCCCTGGTAGGGATCTGTTTCATTCTGGACCCAACAAACCGTTCAATGTAGTTTTCACGACCGACGAAAAGCCCTCACCTCCCCTTGGTGGAATTCGATCCCAATCGACACGGTTTTCAACCACTGAACCGGAGCCAAGCAGGGTTACCCGCTCACAACCAGCTAATGACTTCGCTGACGGGATCAATCATCCGCAAACTTGCCTAAATGTACGTCCTCCCGTTGGATCACCCCTGCCTTTGATGGGTGGAATACTTCCGCCTGTCCTGGGTGGGGCAATGTTTCATTCGGTCTGCTGCTCGAGCCCACTGGCGGTTATTTCCGCTGTGTCATCTCCGTCTTGGTTGGATGGAACGCCTCTATTCAATCCAGATGGACCTCTGACTGACGTGGATCCCACGGCCGATGAAATCGACGTCACCAGTCGCATGAACGTATCCAGCGGCATACATCACGATAGCATCAACATTCCCCTAGATGCACGGTCCAATGCGAAGAAATATGACCAATGGAAGGCCAGCTTTCTCCCACACTGGGCACCTACTGCCTGCTCGTCATTCGACCTGCCCGACATTAATGCAGCACCAATACCCAGCCAAAACGTACGTCCTCCCGTTGGATCACCCCTGCCTTTGATGGGTGGAATACTTCCGCCTGTCCTGGGTGGGGCAATGTTCCATTCGGTCTGCTACTCGAGCCCACCGATGGTTATCTCCCCTGTGCCATCTCCGTCTTGGTTGAATGGAACACATCTATTCAATCTTGATGAAGCCCTGACTGACACGGATCCCACGGCCGATGAAATCGACGTCACCAGTCCCATGAACGCACCCAGCGCGTCGTTCGATCTGCCTGACACTACCGTTGTACTAATACCCTCGCTCGCTGCAACGGCACCAACGACTGCGACCTTTGTGGGAATTACACCTGGGTTGGCACCCTCAGTAAGAGCCAACACCACACTCGTCGGCAATCATCAACACCGAAACCGGAACATTACGTCCAATGGACCAAGCAGACGTGCAACGGAAAATGCTTTTCTGGCTATCCAGTGGAATATTAATGGGTTCCAAAACAACATCAGCGATCTGGAGATTATGGTTAGGGATCATTCCCCAGCCATTCTGGCTATCCAGGAGGTACACAAATCCAGCGTCATCAGGATGAATCGGTCACTGTCTGGGCAATACCGATGGATCCTCAAGAAAGGAATCAACATCTACCACTCCGTCGCCATCGGGATTAGATCATCTCTTCCATTTGTCAGGATCACCACACCAGCTGACTTGCCAATAGTAGCTGCAAAAATACGCTGTCCGATCGTTGCCACGGCCATCTCGATCTATCTGCCCTGCCAGAAGATTTCAGACCTTCGAAACCGCCTGGCAAAATTCCTTGACACCCTGGAAGGCCCTCTCATTCTGATGGGAGACGTCAATGCTCACCATCAAGCATGGGGACGACACCCAACGAATAAAAGAGGAAGCATCATCATGGATATCGCCGAATCCAGGAATCTCATCCTGCTAAACGACGGGTCCAACACGTTCGCCCGTGGCCGAATGTCAACGGTTGACGTCACGTTCGCTAGTGCCAGTATCATACACCGATTACTGTGGATGGTGAACGATGACCCGAGGGGCAGCGACCACTACCCGATTAGTATACAGCTTGATGAATGCCCACCCGAAATATCGCGAAGACCCCGCTGGATCTATAAGCAGGCCGACTGGGAGGCCTACCAGATCGCTATTGAGGAAAACTGTCGGCTCAATTACCACCACACCATAAGCGACTTCACTAAGATGATGTTCGATACCGCTTCGAAAACCATCCCAAGAACAAGCGCGACTCCGGGGAAAAAGGCCCTTCATTGGTGGTCCCCAAGTGTCAAAGCGGCCATTAAAGCCAGGAGAAAGGCACTTCGGGCAGCCAAGAAACTTCCTGCCAACCATCCGGACAAGGAAACAGCACTACAACACTACCGAACGAAGAGAAATGACTGCAGGGATATCATCCGTGAAGCTAAAAAGGGGAGCTGGGAGTCCTTCCTAGACGAGGTTAACCCCAGCCAAACAACAGCTGACCTCTGGAGCAAAGTCAATGCGATAAGCGGTAAAAGGAGAGCCCGTGGTATCGCCATCGAGCACGACGGAACGACCACACGAAATCCAGCTGAAATCGTCGACATTCTCGGCAGCTACTTCGCGTCACTGTCATCGATCGACAGGTACGACCCAGCATTCCGCCGGAAGAATTGCCCGACTATCCACTCCATAGGAAACATCCCGATCCCGAATGACAGCGACAACCTGGACATCAATCGACCCTTCCGCATGGATGAACTCGCCCTTGCTTTATCTAAAGCTAGAGGCGCATCTGCTGGACCTGATGAAGTGGGATATCCTCTCTTTCGATACCTCCCTATCGGGGAGCAGGCTAGGATGCTAGAGTTGGTGAACCAGGAATGGATGGGTGACACTTTCCCCGACCAGTGGAAACACAGCTTGATCGTCCCAATCCCCAAACCGAACTCCACAGGGCACGAGGTGGACAAATTTAGACCCATTTCGTTGACCTGCTGTGCGTCTAAGCTGGTTGAAAGAATGTTAAACAGGAGATTGATCCTGTACCTGGAGGAAGGGAAACACCTGGACCACCGACAGCATGCTTTTAGACCAGGTCACGGAACCAGCACATACCTCGGCTCCCTCAGCGAAGCTTTATCGTCAATGTCCGCAAATAACCATCACGCTGAATTGGTTGCGCTTGACCTATCGAAGGCCTACAACCGGGCATGGATGCCAGGTGTTTTGGACCAGTTGATAGCCTGGGGTCTAAAAGGACACGTGTTGAAGTTCATCCAGAACTTCCTCTCGCACCGGACCTTCCAGGTTGTCCTGGGGAACTGCCGATCCAAGATTTTCGACGAGGAGACTGGCGTACCGCAAGGGTCGGTGATAGCGGTCACCCTCTTTCTCGTTAGGATGAATGGGGTATTCACGAGGTTGCCGGTCGGAATATTCATTTTCGTGTATGCAGACGACATCGTCCTTATGGCAATTAAGGAGACTGTCAAAGCGCTTCGAAGAAAAATTATTCAAGCCACGGCCTACATCTCGAATTGGGCATCAAACGCGGGATTCCAGATGTCCGCAGCAAAAAGTGGGTACACTCATATTTGCCCGTCCAATCACCGGATCCTCAGCACGAAGATCAGCATCCAGGACGAGGTAATTCCGTTCAGAAAAACCCTTCGGATACTTGGTGTGCATTTCGACCGCTCTCTTACGTTCAACACGCACCTGAACGAGGTAAAGAGTGCTTGCAAACAGCGCCTAAACATCCTGAGGACACTAGCAGGTCGACATCCTAACGCCAACCGGACCTCACGCTTCAATGTTGCGAAGGCTATAGTAAACTCGCGGCTGACCTACGGCATCGAGGCTACGTACCTTGCCAAACCACGCCTGGTGGAAAGGCTTACACCAGTCTACCAGCAAGCACTTCGGATTTCTTCCGGACTCCTTCCTGGTACCCCCGGGATCGCCGCCTGCATCGAGGGAGGAGTACTCCCCTTCGACCGCCTGATTACCGCGACTATATGCAAACGCGCCATCGGGCTGAATGAGATAACGTCAGGTACAGACGAGGAAGGTTCCCTCCTAAAGGAGGCCAACAAGTTCCTCAGGGAAATCTCCAACCGAGCTCTCCCCCCAGTGTGCAAGACACATTGGGTTGGAGCCAGAGGCTGGAACAAACCGCCAATTAAGACCGACCACACCATCAAACGGCACTTCAAGGCTGGTTCCAATCCCTCTGCGGTAAATCAGGCGGTATTGGATTTGCAGAGAAGGACGTACGCTGGATACGCCATCCGTTACTCGGACGGTTCCGTAGCCCAGAAAAGGGTGGGCATCGGCATCTCCGGTGACCACCTAAAGGAGTGTCATAGGCTCCCGGATGAGTGCTCTATTTTTTCCGCCGAGGCAGCCGCAGCCTTTATCGCAGTTACTACCCCGGATACACGGCCAATCGCACTTTTCACAGACTCTGCTAGTGTAGTCACTGCACTTGAATCCGCAACCAGCAGGCACCCCTGGATACAGGCCATCCAAGAGTACGCACCACCCAACACGGTATTCATTTGGTTGCCTGGACATTGCGGTGTAAAAGGGAATGAGGAAGCTGATCATCTCGCCGGAACAGGCCGTCGTATGACCAAATATAC